TGGGGAGGGGCCGCCCTGGCCGCCTCACTGGGTGTGTGAGGCTCTCCGGGGAAGAGGATGCGAAGGGGCTTTAAGAAGCAGAGCACGCAAGGAGCCCCTGTGACTGCAGTAGCAGCCTGGTTGGAGAACCCACTCGGCCCCTGCCTGTCTCTGGTGTGTCTGCAGGCAGAGGCCCCCAGTAAGAAGAGCCCCTCCTGCAGGAGGGCCCAATGCCCGATGCCCTTCCAGCTCCAGGTCCTGGGCACCACGCTGGGTGCAGAGGCTCAGCAAACACCATCTAAGGCAGGCTCAGGGCTGGGCAGCATGGTGCTCTGTCTTTGGTTCTTTGGTGATAGAGATGCCTGGCTAGATGCTGTGTCTCCACTTCTGTGTGTGTGTGTGTGTGTGTGTGTGCGCGCGCGCGCGTGTGCGTGCCTGCATGTGGGACGGGGCTGGGTGCCAGGGAGGGCCCCACAAACATGCCCACTCAGCATGGCTATGAAGAGACAGGGCTTGGAAACGCTCCCGTGGAACCAGGTGTCTGGCAGCTGGCCTTGACCTCCCCATTTCCTAAAGTCCAGCCTTGAAGCTCGGTTGACCCCGCCCAGCTCCCAGGCGGGTCTTCCCGAGCTGCCCTCCCGGCTCCGTGCCGGCACTGCGGCCTGCAGACCACAGGAGAGATGCGGCCCGCCCGACAGGCCAGAGCCACATCTGGTTCTCATTCAAATGTCCAAACGTAATTAAATTCTCTATGATGCAGCGGAAGAGTTTGGTAAGATGTGGCTTTCTCCACTTTCCATCAAGGTTAAGAAATCAAAGTCTCCCTCCACCAGCCGACACACTCTCCTCCCTGTCACTGGTCTGTCCTGCCCTGCAGAGGCAACCGCTGGATTCGGCTGTGTCCTAGAGCTGCTGGGCTGGGCCCCGTGTGGGACCCACAGAGGCCCCTACCTCCCTTCCCGTCCTACTTACCCACCTGAGAGGATTAACAGCTGTGGCCCAAACAGCGGGCTCACAACTGAGCACGTTTGTGCACTGTGGGCTGGGAGGCGGGCGGCCCTGCAGGGACGGCTGCTGTACCTGGACTCTCCTCAGCGACACACCAGTGTCCCCCTACCACCACCTTGACGGGAGGTATCTTGTAACACCCTGCCAAGACCCCCTCCTCTTCATCCCTCATAGCAGGAAGCACTTCGAGTTATAATTCTGGAAACTCTGGTCCAGGTATATAGCCCTTCAGTGGGCAATGGAGCTTCCCACAGTCAGGGTGGCATGAGACAACCCCCACCTCTGCCATCTCAACTTGCAGCCTCCCCCCTGCCCACCACGAACCTAGGAGGGGAGGAGGCATGAGAAACGCTGGAGGAATGGACGGCTGTGAGCAGCAGCAGCAGCTCAGGGGGCCCCTCGGACCCCGTTCCCATGTCCTCAGGGCTGCTGGTCACTCCCGGCCTGAGAGGGCTCTGAGCCAACCAAGGGGCAGCGAGGTGCGGGGTGCGGGGTGCCGGGTGCGGTCCTGAGTGGAGGGAGAGGGAGCCCTGTGCATCTTCTCAGCTTCCAAAGCGTCCCCGAGATGGGCAGCTTTTTCCAGCTTCCATTCCCAACTGAGTATCTTGTTTACGGCTTGTTTTTATACTTGGGGATTTATGGCTCTCATGGTAATGGGTTCCATTCTACTTCCTCTATGCCTATTTTTCTAATTATTGTAGTACAGGCTTTATGAGAGTCTCTTAATAAGTCCGGGTATTTTTCCTTCAGAAACAAACTGTCCCGAGAGTTAATGACTTACAGTGGGTGTGGATGCTCCCCAGGGACAAACAGGGGCTGGGGAGGGCAAAACCAGGGTGAGGGTGAGGGAGAACCTTCTCGATTAAACAGAGCTGTGTGGGGGTCCCTTTAAGAACTGTGGCCAGCTCCCGTGCCAGAGTCCGCCCTGCTGCTCACTGGCACCCTACCACAGGACTAGGAGCACACTCAGGTGGTGCACGTGGCACTTCCGTGCCGAAGAACGCTCACACAGGGACAGGCGCTCACACAGGCGCTGGTGGGAACCAGCCACGCCCAGCGCCGCTGACCTGGCTCTAACGAGGAATCATTTTGTGCATTTGGTTCCAAATGGTAAACTTCAGCTTGGTCATGGATTTAATTTAATTTCTTGGTGGCATCAGTGCCAGGCCCACGTGCCTGGTACCTTCGTATCAGTAAAGGAGGTTTTGAGGAAACTAATTCTGCTCTTGGTCCAGTCGTCCCAGGCCAAGGCTAGCAGAGAGAACGGCGGTGGGGTCAAGGTCTCTGCTGCCGGCATCGGGGTCCCAGCCCGCACCCTCAACCCCACGCTCCATGGCGGGTTGAGGAGCCCAGGCCTCAGTTAATTGCTGTGGTGCCGCCACCGTCCAGAGGAAAAAGCGGGGCGGATGCCGGGGGCCTTTGTGCTTTGCTCGCAGCCTGGCTGCTGGTGCCGGGGCTCTATTCATTATTCAATTCCGCCAGCTCTGCGGAGCCTGTCCATTTGCTCCTCCAGGAGGAATAACAAATCTAGAAATGCAATTCCACTTTGGTGTATTAAGATATTGATTTGCCTGTCGAGTGGAAGTGCATTTGTTCTGTCAGCCCTCCCGTGGGCAGGAAGGGGTTAACCAAATGTTTATCACAGGGCTGGCTTCAGAGTTGAAAGTAATGTGATCAGTAATGAATTTTGTGTTACATTAGGTTGTATAAATGGACAGACAAGCGCAGACAACAAGTGGCCAGGAGTCGGGGCTAATCTAATGATGTAAAAATAGAGACAGCACCAATTATACCAGGGGCCAGCTCCAGGCTCCTGCAGGGACTGCAAATGAATAGGTACAAATCAAATTACTCACTAATAGACGCACTACAAGAGGGGCAGTCAATGGTAAATGCATTAGAGCCTAGTGACCTCTCTGCTCTGCACAGCAGAATCCGAAAATTTGACTTCCATCTTAAAGGTGGGGGGCAGGGAGTAAGGTTCTCAAAGAAACTCTTGTTGGGTGAAGAACAGCGAGCGCTCCCCTCCCAAACCAGCCAGTCCCATTGCCAGGAGGTGTCTCCCATCTGAGCTGACCTTGCCCTGACTCCAATGCCTCTTGAGGGACCAAAAGAGCAGTGGGACAAAGCCTTGAACTTCGGCAAAGACAGGAAGTTACATACCAACACACTTCACAGCCATGTGTCTCTCAGGGGTGATGGTTTTTACTGCTACGTCAAGGGCTGTGTCTGTATTGAAAATAAAATATTTCTTTAAAGAGGATCACAACAAGGACCTTTCAGAGAACAGCAAGCCAAGATCAGAGGGAGTAGACATCAAGATCTGGTCAGGCCACTGAGAGCTCTGCAGGGGGTGTTCATGGTCTGTTCCCAGGCACAGCACCTCGAGGGTTTTGCATATTTCTCACTGGGTGAAACTGGTATCATCCCTCCATCTATTCCCCACTCCCCTCACCCCGCAGCCCGGCTCACGCCTGCCTGCCACACAGGCCTGGGAGAGCGAAGGATGCGGAGGTAGAGCCAGCATCTTGGGTAGGCCCTCAGGTTGTCTTCCTCCTCTTGGATGTAGAAGCCAGGCCTGAAGTTCAAAGCTACTTGGCAGTGTGGCTGGGCCGCTTAGACAAGGATCATGAAGACGTGCACAAATGCATGAACTGTGTGCACATATTCAGCTCTTAGTGGCTCAGGGGATGCATAAAGTATGAAACCAAAGACTCTCCAGCCTTCCAAGAGCCCAGCCCATGCCCAGATGGAGGCGGAGACGCTGGTAGGCTTAGCTTCCCCCACTACCCCTAAGGCCTGCACCAGTCACACACATCAAAGCGGAGATGTCACGCCGGTCCTGGCCAACTGGAGCCTGGAGATGATGGGAACGCGCCTGTAAAATGAGCGCAGGGGCCCCCCGAATGGAAAAAGCCATCCTAAACAAATGAAGCAACTGGATGTCGGTTCTCCCCAAACTCAATTAAGCACAAGGAAGGGTGAAATCACGAGCCATCCAGCTACACTACATAAAACATATGTTGGGGGGGAGTTGGGGGAGGTCTGTGAAGCCTGGTGTTAGGGGACTCTGCCAGTACATTTACAAATGTCACATGTGGTGGGCCTGCAGGTCCCTGGGGGCAGGGGTGGGTACCAGAAAGTAAGCAGGACGAAATCATGGAACGTCAGAGGCCGGACAGCTGATTCTGGTATGTGGGCTGGGGAGTGCCTCTGTCTGTTAACCTGGACCAGACTGGCACGGCCTGGCTGCTTCCTGCAGTGTTCTCTTCTGCTTTAAAGCTGCAGCGCTAGATCCCTACAGGGTCAGAGGGCCGTTTTCAACGTTCATTTTCTGTGTGTGTGTGTGTGTGTCTTTCCTCTGTTGGCAGCCATCAAATCTAGGGGGTGGTCTGCATACCTCGGACCACCTTCTGAGTAGGCAGGGGGTGGAGGCGGGCAGAAGTGAACGATGGGTATTTAACCATCCATGACTGCGTTCAACTTTGTTCAGATCTTACACCTCACAGAAAGGTCAATGGTTAAAGGTGAATTCTCTGGCAGACGAGGAAGAACAGAGAGAAATCCTCCCTTTTGTTAACCATTTACCTGCGTTAACATCTCCAGAAGAGGGCCCCTATGTGGGGTCCCCCCGGCCCCCTTGTCCAGGCGCACACATCTCCCCTAGGCAGTCCTGCTTCTGGGTGGGCAACACCTGCAAAGGGGACCCTGAAGGTTCACCGATGAAGTCACAGTGGCACTGCCTTCTTGTTGATAGAAATCAGCACGCTTTGGTGAAAACGTTCAAAGTAGACTTTGGGCCACTACAAAATGGAGAGGTGGGGTGGGGGGGGTGGGGAGAGAGGAGAGCCTACATTGAGAAGTGGCCAGAAAGAAACAAGTGTCTTTTAAACACAGGAATTACCCCCACTGCTCTGGCTGGCTCTCCTTTGCCTCGCAGGAGCCACAAAACCCCATCCAGTCATTCAACAACCATTAACTGGGGCTTAGCTTGGCTCACATCCCAGGGCTGGACGCTGGGCAAGGAGAAGGCTGGCGGTCAGAGGTGACGAAGACGAGCCAGGCTCGGCCCGAGGAACTGGAGTTGGGTTAGGTGAGACACTCAGCATGGGCAGGCCGGCTGAGGCAGGGGGGCGAGGACCACCAGAGCCGAGCCTCCCCGCAGGGGCATGTGGAAGGGAGTCAGCCATTGCTCATTAATGGAAAAGGCAACGTACACTGTTTGTCTGGGGCTGACTGTCCTGAGAGTAGGTGGTGCCGAAGCTCAGAGGAGACAGAGAAGGCACCCGGCTGCGGGTCAGAGAAAGCCTCACAGAGCAGCTGAGGTCTGACCTTGGTCTGAAAGGGTGACTGAGCAGAGCGGAGGGCACAGGCACTTGAACAGAGTCAGGTGAGTGGGGCATGCTGTGCTGGGGATGGTGGGACCATTCCAGCAGGCGAGGATGATGTCTGCATGAAGGTGGTGGTGGTGAAATACGAATCAGGGTTTTATTGTGGAAGGGAAAGTGGGCCATCAGGTTGGAGAGGAAGGTGAGGAAGGCCTGGAAGGGACTTGAAATGTCACCGCAAGGGGCCTGGGCAGGCATATGGGGGCCTGGGTGCTTTGTAGGTAGGGAAATGGGACGACAGTCAGAGCAGGCCCACAAGTGAAAGCCCCTTGCTCCTCTGGGGACCCCCCCGTGTGCTGAAGAAAGGGGGGAAGTAGTGGATGTGCCCAGGTGAGACCGATGGGATCTTAAGAACTGGAAACTCTCCTTCAATATCTCATTTTAATCCTGCGTCTTTGAGCTAAGATCCTACTTCCTTTCCTCTTGTCTTCTTTGTAAATTGGAGACAGGAGTCGATCCACCTGGCAGGGACATTTTGATTAGAGGGCGTTTACGTGGGGAAGGCAGAGCCCAAAGCACAGAAGCCATCTGGGAGGAGGTGGCCATTCCTGAAGAGCTGAGAGGAGCCAACGAGAGGACGTACACAGCGTGCTCCCTGCAGTGGTGCCGCGGCCAGGACACAACAGGTGTAGTAGTAAACATTTACTAGACTCACTGGTTTCCCTGTTCCCTGCTGTTAGAGAAGTGGAACCAAGAGAGGGAAAGGAACATGCCCAAGGTCACAGGCCTCCCCCATTTCCTAAGAGGACTTCCAAACACCACTGCAGAGAAAAACAGGGCTCAGCGTTCCTCCCAGGGGCAGCAGCTGGGAGCCGGAGCTGCAAGGACTCTCAGATTTGGCCTTTCCTACCGGTGGAGAGTAGACAGGAACAGGCAATCTGACACTGAACTGAGCCGCAAATAGCAACACCAACAGCGCCACCCCTGCTGCAGCCACCCACCACCCCCCGGGAACAGCTGCTCCCTCCCACCCCGGCTGGGGTGCTGTGGCCTGCGGGCGGTGCTGGGCTCTATGTCTGGGTGCCCCTGTGCTGTGGGGCTTGTTCTCTCCTCACCAGCCTCAGCCATCAGGGCATCTGTTACTGGGGAGTTTGTTCTTCTGATTTCAAATCCTGGAAAGAGCCTGGGCTCTGGGCAGGGGACCACTCTGGATTTCTGCCTGGTCCAGCGCAGTCAGGTGGGCCCCAGTGGGCAGTAGGGGACAGCAACCAGGGAGGAGCCGACCCACAGTCCAGCACTGTTTACTCCTCCAGGACTTTGATGTCTTTGAGGGTAGGAACTACGTCTCACTCCTCCCACACGCTGTGCGCCCTAGGGTGGTGGGCACCAGAGGTGCCTGCAGACGGCCTGCCTGCCTGCCGCTGCCGCAGACAGAATGTGGGGGCCACTGAGGAGCTCATTGAGAGAAGACACTAAAAGCCCTTTGTAAAGGTGCCGCAGAAGAAGAAGGAAAATTCCAGGTAGCAGAAAAAAGGACCTAAGTGACTGGCTAAATGGCTTAGATGGCAGTATTTGCCTGAGCGTAGGGATGTCTAAAAGGTAAGACAATGAACTCACTGCCCTGATGCCTGCAGTTCTTGTCACCTGACCACGTGGCACCTTGAGGTGGGAGGGGCCAATATAACCCCTCCTGAGAATGGAGCCTCAGCAGTGGGGCAAGTGGGAGGTCCCAGGTTCATGGGAAGGGCTGGGTCTGGAGGCAGGACAGAGGGTCCTCACACTGGTTGTTTGTTTTGGGGCCAAACATCTGGTCAACACCCCCAGTGGCAGCGAGAGTTTATCCACAGCTGGGTTCCTGCAGTCCCGAGATGGAAGGTGTTATTAGTGCAAGTGTGCACAGCATTTGTTAGCTAACTCACCGAAACCTTGGCCGTTTCAAAGTGGTGTGCAAGGTTCAGAATGTGTTTTTACTGTTCAGAAGGGAAAAATCCACAGCCCTTTCAACAAATAAAAGAAGTTTCCGACAGAAAAATTTGGAAGAGCTTTAGTTGAAAATAATCTGACAGCCTTTTATGCTGAGTAATTAATTTCCTACACATGTAGGACCAGAGAATTGAGCAGAATAAACTACGGTGTTGGTTCCCAAACTGTAGACAACCAACTCACCAATGCGAAATCAAGTTAGTGGCATATGACCGCACTTCAAAAAAATAAAAAAGAAAATATAAAGTACTAAAATGCATTGCTTATAATATTGTTTTGTGAAAGTTTTATAGATTTGGGTAAGAAAAATAAATGTATTTCTGAGAGAAGGGAAGAAGCAGAGAGTGAGCCCACAGGGCAGTTCCCAAAACTAACTCCTTCTGGACGGAACAAGGTGCATCCTCTTTCTACCTTCATGCTGTGATGGTCAAGGAGAATGAAACAGTGTCCCCAGGACTGCAAGAAGCCACAGTCATGGGGAAGAGACAGTCTCTCTTGACCTTGAGAACTGACTTAGTGAGCTCTTAAGAGTCCAGGGCAGCAAAAGGAGGCAGCTGGCAACAGAGAGGTGTCGAGAACACTTCATACAGTTGACCGGGCCCCAGGAGTCAGGCCTTTGCTCTTGATGTGAACGCCAGAAGAAATGAAGACAAGGTTCAGTTGAATAGGGATGGAAAGAGTTAAAGTCTACAGAGAAAATGCACTTAATGTGTACTCAGGTGTTTATTAAAATTTTTTTTGTATTAGGTTATATCTTCACCTAGACACAAAACAATTGGAAAAGGTAAATGTTTTGCTTATTTAAAAAATTCAGTTTTTCTAGAAAAGGCAATTTTGAAAGGAATGTCTGCTAAGCAGGAATTAGTCAAGTTATCCTGAGGGGGTGACAGAGGGAGGAGGGGCCGTGGGAGATGGCATTCCAGGGAGGAGGGGATTGTGCAGATGCCTGGCCGGCAGACCACGTGTGCTGCAGACCCTTGGGGAGCTGGGCGGGGTCGGGGCCAGGGCCGGGGCTCCAAGAGCGGCAAGAGAGGCAACTGGAGAAAGGGTGGCGGCCGGTCACGAAGGGCTTTGTACATGGTGGGGTGGGGTGAGCCCTGGAGAAGGATGGGGTCGGGGGACAGGAGTTCAAACTGGGGAAACACAGAGGTGGCAGCAGGTGACCGTTGAGATGGCTCTGAAGATCAGGAGAGAAAGCCAACTTGGAGATTATTTGGAAGTTATCAGTGCAGAGATGGCATTTGAGGCCACAGTAGCAGAGGAGGTTGCTCTGTACTTACTGAGGGAGAAGAAGGAGGGCCAAGAGAGGGCCTAGAGAGACATACCCAGGGCCCGCAGGGCAGGCCAGGCCAGGCCAGGGACGAAGAAGTGACTGGAGGCAGGAATAAAACCGGGACAGAAACAGGTGCTCGGAGATCACAGCAGGTGGCTCAGCCAGTGTGGGGGCAGAGCGGCTGTGTGGACGGTGGAGGTAACCTGGCGAGCGGCTGCTGTGGCTGGGCAGTCTCGGGGCAGGGACAGGAGGAGAGGGAAGGTGGCTGCAGGGACGTTTAGGGTCTGAGTGTCGAAATCAAGAGGTTTCTACATTTTTTGACAGTGAGAGACCAGCCAGTGTGGTAAGAGAGCCGAGAATGGGCAGTGTGCAATAATGGCCATGAAGGAGGAAAGAGACTGATTTCAGGATGACGGACTGAGCCTATGTGCCACCCTAAATAAACAGCATATTAAGTCATACTAAATAATCAGCAATCATATAAAAAATACCAAAAATAAAATACAAACTCTTGGAGGACCAGAGATCTGGGGTGTCTCTAAGAGAATGAAAATATGCTATGAGCCACAGCAGTGAGCAGGGACAGAACTCCTCACATCTGGGTCAGATACAGAACTCATTCACTCAGCAGTCACTGCACACCCGCTCCGTGCCAGACGTGGTTCAAGGTGCTGGTTTCTGCTGCAAAAGACGGGTGCAAACCAAGGGCAGGAGAAGGGGCAGCGGGAAAATACAGGAGGACTGCCCAAGCCCACTGGAGAGCAGGGACCGCACGTCTGTAGAGGCAGCAATCTGAACTGGTGATTTTCCTTCAGCAACCAAAGCGTAAGGGCAGAGTGAGACTGACCTCAGTCTGGAGGTTTGCTGAAAGGGGACAGTGGGAGTGTGAACAGGGGCCAGGGGTGTGATGATATTAGCAAGAATGCAACCCGGCCGGTTTAGAGCTGGCCTTGCAAATCGCTCACGTGATCTAGTTAGACAAGTGGCCAGTGGCCAGCAGGGAGGCCAGAGCTAACACCTGCCACAAAGGTGAACCATGTTTTAACACAGACCATCTCAAACTCAAACGTGCATTAAGATCTTAGTTCAAAGCAGGTGCCGATTCAGTAGGGCTACGTAGGGTCTGAGATTCTGCCTCGGTGGTACTGCTGGGTCACAGCCCACTCTGAACAGTAGGTTTTGAATGGGTTTTGCTGGGCTTTGGGGGAAAGCTGCTCTGCACTACGTACGGCCCAGCTTACAGTGGGTGCTACAGTAACCAACAAGCCAGTACGCTGATGTCACGTTCTCAGGAATCCTGCTCTATGATGGGCATCGTGTCAATAGCTTGAAATTGGCCCTAGTAAGAGTTTTTGCATGACGGCAGTCTCCAAAACGCTACAAATCAGGGCTCTCCCGCTTCCCTTTGGAGAGCTGGGAGTTAAACATTTACCAGTACATCACGAGCTAAACCAGCAGGAGAGCGAGGCCTGCTACACACTGGGCTTCAGTGTCAGGGGTCACCTGAGCGTGCTCCCTTCCCACCACGATAAGAGGCCAGCAGTCCCGGGGCTACACTAAACCAAGTGCTTCCTGAAGGGCTACAGCGACTGATCCCCTCTGGTGACCCAGAGTCCCGAACAGGGCAAGACGCTGGATGTCCTCCTATCCTATGAGCCACCTGGAGAAGCAGGGCTGGGGGAAGAGAGAGACTGAGAGGCTGCTCCGGGCTGAGGGCGACTTGCTGGGACTTCTCTCCCAGGTTGCACTGCATTTCCCCGGCTATCTCTGGGCAGCACGCTGCTCCTGGCAGGGGTGTGCTCGGCTGCCCTTTCAAGGCCCCGGACTGCCCCGCCAGGCTGGCGCTTTATCTGCGGTTCTGAAACGTGCAGAGGGATTCTTGACAATGGCAGAGGGAAGCAGGTTGACTCCTATGATATCTGCTTTCCTTGCCAGCCTTTAACATGGAGGCAGTTTAAAGAAATAAAATATAGTACATATTTGCTACGGTCAAGACCAGATGAATCCCTTTCGGTGACAGTTGGGGAGGAAAATGAAATCCCTCTGCTCAAAAAGGGCGTCTCCTACTTTCTGACCCATGGGTCATGCTGTTTTAATTTCCTCTCTCATTTTTTAAAAATTTTGTGAACCTGCTTAAGGCCACAAAGTCTCTCCTGAATCCCTCAGCTGTCTGGCAGATGAATCGCTGCCAGTTTCGCTCAGGTTACTAGCTGTCTGTGCCAAGCTGAAGTCCCCGGCCCTGACTGGAGGCACCTTTGGAACTGCTTGCTGAAGAACTCTGAGGCGCCCCAAGGGGCCTCAGAAGACAGCTGACCCACGCGGCTCTAGCCCCTGGAAGGGCGGCTCCTGGGGAGGGAGTGCAGCACCACCAGGCCCTGGCTTGTGGGAGCCGGGGCTGACCAGGGGCCCCCGGGGGGGGGGGGGAAGGCTGTTCTCTGAGCTAGGCTCTGAGAGGGAGTTTTCCTCGCTTCGGCCGGCTTCCAAGGAAAATGGGGTTAAAGCCCCCGTAAACAGCAGAGCTGTTCTTCATCTGTGGATCCGGGGAGAACATTGGCAAGATGGCCTACTGTCCTCAAGCTGCAGAGCTTTTTGAAGGAGGGACAGTGATGGCGTGCACATACGTGCCTGTGAATGCACCAGGGAGCGGGCATGGCTCTGGCAGCTTCCTTCCCTTCTAGGGAAGATGGGGTGTGGACGGGGGCCAGGCGGGGCTGGTCCTTGAAGGTGGCTGTCTCCAGGGGCCTGATAAGGCGCTTCTGTACTGTGGGGACTGTGGTACATACAACGTCTCTGTCCTCTTCCTGCAGGAGCATGGGGACTGAATGGGATGGGGAAGGTGAAGGGGAAACCAAGCTGCTGACCCCTGGTATCCAAAAGACCCAGAGGACCTGCCAGGAAGTGACCATGTCAGGCACCTCCAGCCTTGTCCAAAGTGCCTGGGCTCTGTGTCTAGCCGGTCCCAATTACTGCCCCAGGGTGCAGGGTCCTTCTCTCTGGGACCCACTTTCCAGGTGGGCATGTGGGGCGGTTCAAAGTGAACACAAATAAGGGCGGGAGGGCCTGCAGTCAGACTTCCCACTGGCCTCGGGGAGCAGGGAGGAAGGCCGGGGGCCGTCTCCCTCAGGCGCTACAGCCCGGCCAGGGCAGTGACCGACAGCCCACACATCCGGAATGAAGAGGAGCTTTGGAGAACAGAGAGCAGGCGGCGCGGGCTGTACAGTGGCTGCATGGAGGTGGAGGCCTTCCCTCAGTGCACGCCCTGTGCGTGTGCACACGTGTGCACGTGCACGTGGGCGCCCGCTTGCTGGGGCGCGGCCACCCGTCCTCTAAGGATGCCTTCTGGCTGCTCTTTGGATGAGAGAGGCCACTCGGGCCCCAGCTGCTGGGCCTTCTCAGAAGCAAGACAAGGGCGAAAGGCAGCAGGAGGGAAAGCTGCCTGCCTGCCTCACGCCGCCCCTGCCTGCCTCACGCTTGCTCCCTTCCAGGTGCCAGGTGCCAGGCCCCACAGTCCCTGCTGATCTATAAAGCCTCTCACAGGGCAGAAGCAGGTGTGCTGCCAGCACTCGGTGCCTAAGGGCTGCTGAAAACCTTGGAGACTCCCAGGCTGTCCCTCCCCCTGGAGCAGGTGTCCCCCTGGGAGCTGCTTACAGAACGCAATTGTGTTTATCACAACATTTTTTAATGCATTACCCCACTTAGGAGGGGTCAGTTCCACTGGGAGTTCCCCTGGATGCAGGGCTTCCCGTTACTGGACGCTTCCACAGTGGACGGCGGACAGAGTGCAAACTAGAGAAAGAAATGGTTTAAACAAATATACACCCTTCCTTCCAGGGAAGCTCCACACCAGCAGGTGCCAGTCATGACCGAGGCAGGCTAGAAGTGAGAGGCCACCGTTACCTGTTCCGGATCCCACCACATCTCGGCTGGGTGACTCGGCCATGGCGTCGGCGAGCCGCTCCCGCAGGCCCTCCTCCGTGTGCTCCAGCGAGGACAGGTGCCGCAGTCCGAAGCCCTCCGGCCAGCTCCCGCACACCTCCAGCAGGGTCACACTCCGGTCAAAGGTGCCTGCAGCCACACAGGGGACATCAGACACTGAGTTCAGGCTGTCAGAGGCCGTTCTGTTCGCCCACCGCCGACTTCCCGCCCCGTCCAGGATGGAGGAAGGAGACGCCCCAAAAACAGCAGGTGCGGCGCAGGCAGAAACGCTGCGCTGCTGCCTCACAGCGCGTAGCCCTCTGGGAGACGGCCTCCGTGTCCCCGCGCCAGTGGTTTTCCCACCGTTTTCTGAGCAGCTACACAGTCCCTCTGAGTCTTCAGGGACTGACTCAGGAACTAGGTCAAGGGCAAGGAACTGCCTTCCCAAGTTCAACCAAAACATCTCTACTTTTCTCCAATACAATAGGGCTTCCCCTTAAAATTCCTTTGAAACAGAAGTTATAGAGCTTAAACTTAAAAAAAAAAAACCCACCTTTTTAAACCAGGATATTCTATAACCTATACCACACCTCCTCATTTTGCATTTGAACTTCAGAGACTTTAACAGTGCAAAATCCAACAGCATGTCTGTGGCTGACCTGGCTCAAGAATTCAGATCTCTGTTATTATTATGTAATAACTATGCAGGGTGGCAGGTGGGTACTGCAAATATCAGGGGCCACGCTTTGCAAAGTATATGATTGTCCAACCACTATAAGGTACACCTGAAACTAATACAAAATAATGCCAAATGTAAATGGTAATTGAAAAAAAAAAAAGAGAAAGAACTCGGATCTCTGGTGCTCGGTGTAGAACTCACTCTGCTGTAGAGCTGTTGCATCCCGGCCCCCCGAAGACTGGGGCACAGCTGGGAGCTGGGTGACAGCACCCTCAGCAAAGATACCTTCCCTTAGTTTGAAGCTGCCCCCAAATTCCAAAACGTACATGGCGCTCTGCGGAACGCCAAGATTCGATTTTACACGCAAGATCACTTCAAAGTCTCAAGTTAAATTCTTTGACTTCATTATACAGCAAGTCTTCTGTGAAAGCTTATTTTGTCCACTCTCTCTTAGAGGCAGATTACAGCCATGCTCTGTTGCTTTAAGCACATACCATTTCCCCAGCGATTAGGTAACTGAATCCACCGCGTTTATTGGGCTTGGTTCCTGCCAGCACCAGGAAGATGGGGAAAAAATGCAAATGCCAACGTTTCCCCAAGTTAAAAGTACACGCAGCGCACACTCTTTATCAGGCCTTGCTTCTCCCCTTTGATCAGCCGTCAGAAACTATCTTCCCTCGGCAGTCAGGGCTGGGCAGCGTCAGCACACACTCTCTGCCAATGACAGGTGGTAATAGAGAGGGTGCGAGCCCCGGCCCCGGCAGGCGGCCCTGCCTCTGATAATGGCCAAAGCACTGAGGTGATAACCGTGAGTAAACACTCCGACAGCCAGGGACTCCATACATCAGCAAAGAGGGCCAGATAATCCCGAGCTCTCCTGACCAGACAAAGGCCCTTGGCCAGCCCGCTGGGATTTATATGTGTGGCAAGGGTCACTTCTGGCTCCTGAATGTCATCAGCCAAGTTGGGCTTTGATTTATCCCTTGCCTAATTGTCGGGTAGATCCCTGGTGCTGGGAGAATTGGCAGCACCTGTGAATGCGTCTCCCCGACGAGAGGCCCACCTTGGCAGTGGGCTGCGGGGGTCAGCTTCTCAGGTGGGACACCAAAGTGGGGAGCTGCCCTGTATTGCCGTCTCTCCACTAAGCAATGCCAGGCCTGGGGTCTGGGAGTGAGGCGCTGGGCAGCGGGGCTGGGGCGCCCTGTACGTCAGCCCTCCCGGGACCTGCCCTGTGCTGCAGTTGAGCCAACACTCAGCTGGCACTGGCAACAACCCAGAGATGCCCAGGCCCCAACGACACACAGGGACTGATGACATAAGGTTCTAATTCCATGACCCACTCACTAAGGGATGTTAGGCCAGTAAAGTCCCTCTATCTCCTTTTTCCGTCTCTGAAGTGGAACTAATAACTCTTTGCCTTGTCTCCAAGGAGAGAAGAGATTGAGCAAGGCTCCTGCCAGGAGTCTGAGTTCTCTGCCGCTGCCCTACTCTTGGCTGACAAGATCAAGATCTATGGAATCGTTGTTTCTCTGAAGGGTCTGCCTGGCAAACCTATGCTTAGTGGTTTCCAGAAGAGGGGATTTACAATAAAACTTGGCTGTCCCTTCTCCCAGCACTGTCAGGATGGCGGCGGTAGGTTTCCTGTGGACATGAATGTCCCAGAGCCTGGGGGAGGGAAATGCATCGCCTTTCTTTTCCTCGCTTCCCAAGAGCAGGCGCCTGCGTCTAGAGAGGCGCTCGGTCAGTGTGGGTGTTCACTGTGCTCAGAGGTCAGGGCAGGTAAGCTGACAGCAGGGCCAGCAGGAACATCAGAGGCCCAATCTGTAAGCAAACAACAAAAAAATCCAGCAAGATGATGTTATTTACAGCAAGAAGGGCTCAGGTGGGGGGGGGGGCTGGCCCATGACAGACAGTGAAGGCTAGAGGGGTCCAAAATAATTTTTTAATATTCACCCAAGGATATGTTTATTGATTTTGAGAGAGAGAAACATCAGCGTGGGAGAGAAATACCAATCAGTTTCCTCCTGAACACGCCCTGACCAAGGACTGAACCCGCAACCTTTTGGCGTGTGGGATAATGCTCTAACTAACTGAACCACCCGGTGAGGGCAAATCTGCAATAATTTTAAGAGACAAAACAGTGGTATACAGGAGAAAAGAATCACGAGCTCACAGAGAATGGAAATGAACCTGGACTTAAATACAGGCCCGAACACATATTAGCTACATGGCTCTGGGCAAGTTCTTTACCTTTCTGAGCCTCCGATTCCTCATCCGTAAAAATGGAAAAACAACACAGTCCTGTAGGGTTGTTGCGAGGACTGCCTTGGGTACCCGGGGCACGGCGAGGGCTCTGCACGTTGTGGGTGAGCTCATGTAGATGTGAATAATAAGAGGCGTGTATAACTCCGTGCACTTGAAGCACCGCCATAACTTTTCACCGGTACCAGTCCAATTTCTGAAGCTCAGAGTCTAACTGGAAGATCTGGAATGCAGGCTCCTACTCCTTAGCTTGGACCCTGTTCTATCAGCTCTGCTCCCCTCGGCCGCATGTACAGGGGGGAACTGTTAGGTGGAGAAATCACCTCCACCTTCCCTAACTTGTTCTCAGAACTCTGCTCATCTTCAACCAATGCCTTTTAAAATCTTTCCCACTTCCTACCAGCCCGAGCTCCTTGGAGGATCGTGCACTGGTGAGTCCTTCTGTCTGCTGAAAGGCACGTAGGCGGAAACTGCGGACAGAAGATCTGTTCTCTCTTAGCATGGGCACTGATAGGAAGTCGTGGGTAGGAGGCTGGAGGTATAACAAGTTCTGCAAAAGAGCACTCGATGGTTTCCACCGTCCTGAGAAGTCACAGAGAGCACAGCAGGGGCCTCTGCAATGCCCCCTTCCTTGACTTGCCTTCCACCCCTCCCGGTGCAAACGAGGACAGCAAAGGAGCTTGTGGAGTCTCTCAGCCCCAGAGAGAGAGAGAGGGCTGCAGGTGTGTGTGTGTGTCAGCAGGGGCTGGGTGAAGAGGCCAAGCCCTCGGACAGCGAGGTCACCTCTGGGCTCTTAGGCAACTGCGTATCTTGTCAGTGTTGTCGGCACAGCCATCATTCATCCGGCCAGGCCAGAGACACTCCATCAGATGGGCTGGCCCTCCGAGTCCCATTACGGGGCGAAAGGGTCACTTTCAAGGGGAGAAGACACTTAACGCAGGCTGGCTGTTTGCAAAGCACAAAATACACGTACTTAGCAACACAGATCTTTTGCTGAAGCGATGTTCTGCTGCTTACAAAGCCCTCTCACGTTTATTATTTCAGTTAACCCACACATTCGTCAAATATTGATTAGTGTCCACTGTGATATGAGTCAAGCACTGTACTGAGGTATGGGGAGACAAAGGGAGCCAAAAAATAAATAAATAAAACCTCATGGTCCTTAGGAACTCTGGGAAGCTGCAATTACCGCCATTTCCAAGATTTACATTTGACTGAGGCTGAGAGAGGGGAGGTAACTTAAGGTCGCTGGTTTCCCCTGAGGCCTGCTGGGAATCCCTGGCTTCAAGAATTTGCCTTCGCTGACTCCAAATTATACTGAGTGCTCCTTCATACAGTCCGATTGTATAAAAGGTTCTTTACCTTTTGGGGTAAACCTAATGAAAGCTGTGAACTCACCCCCAAAATGTATGTTTGCATATGTAAAATTATGTAAGCAATTTTGGGGTGTTCATGGGGCCTCCGAAGGCCACCTGTGGGTCCAACATTAAACAGATCATTTCTGGGGTGTTACTCCCACGCTGCCGTATATTATTCTCATGATCCGCTCTCCGGCCTAGTTTAGAAGCTTCCCGAGGGCTGGATGCCCCCATGATCTATAATATAAGCATAGGACTTTGTGCATGGTGCCTGCTCAAAACATGTTTGTTTATTGGCTTATTATGAGCATTTGAGACATTTGACAGTCACTCTGGAGTCAAAACCCACTGGGTGTGCTTGCAGAGCCAAAACATCTCATGCCAGGATTGGCAGGAATGAGATGGAGACAGGCAAAAAAGGGAGCTAAAATTAAATAAGAGAAGGAAAGAGAATACACATGAGCAGAGAACAACGCCACAGTACCATTCTACTGCTTTCTGTGCACTCATTTTAGACTGGCGATTCTGAGTCGGAAGAGTGTAAGCAGTCCACCCTGAATGGCACAGACAGCCAGCCTCGTAGAGGTGAGCTTTCTGCATCCTGCTTCCTCGCTTGGCATCCTGCGTTACACTCTCTCCCCAGAGGAGAAATGGGTCAGGTTATTGGGTTTCACAAACCTATTGAAGGCACGTGGTGACAGCTGG